ATAGTACTTGCATTTGATATAACGCTTACACATCATCGAGACAATATGATAAAATGGATTGACTGTGTGTTTTGTGGTTGAAAGTATAGTGACTGTGTTTTGTGGTAAATTGACTGCACTAGTTAAACTATAATTTTTAGATAGACAAACTCCTAAACTGGATCTGCATTGCTTGAAGCTGTTGGAACTCCCAATGTAGTTGCAGACAATAAAATATGTTGTAAACACAAGAAGATTTTAGAAAGGATAGCGCCCTTCCCTTCAGTTAATTGGGGCAATGCTTCTTGTGTGGTAACAGCCGATGAGGAGATGGATGGTAGAAAGGTTAGAATTTAAGCTTTTAGGGTACTGAATTTCTACTGCGTTTCTTATGATCCAATATTGAAAAGATGTACTATGGTTCTAGAAGCTTTTTTCAATGCTTTTGAAGGCAAGATATAATAATTCTTATATTTGATACAGCACCTTTCATGTTGGGAGGAGTCTCAAAGTGCTTCACATGATATACTGTAAAGTGGAGTGACTGTGTACCTTGTGGATGAAATGAAAGATTTTCTATTTATTAATGAGTCAGCAACAAAAAGGCATAAATTGAAGACTATCACGAGTAGAAAAAGGCGGAGATTATAAGATATTTTTTGCACAGAGGTTTGCCTGAATGTGGAAAGCCTAACCACAAATGGTTAGGTTTAAAATGAGTCCATAATATCAGGTATTTAAAAGGAAATGGGGTAAATATTTGAGAAAAAAGAAATAGCCTGTTACAGGGTGGTGGTTTGACTTCATAACCTCAGAAGCGCTTTGAGACGTCTAGAAGATGTGAAAAGCGCTATATCAAATGCAAGGATTATTATATTATTACAGACCATGCTATAAGACATCTTTGAGTAATCTTGATGTCTTGATAAACTAGTATATCAAATGAAGGATTATTATATTATTGTAGATCATGTTATAAGACATCTTTGAGTCATCTTGATGCATTAATAAACTAGTATATCAAATGAAGGATTATTATATTATAAGGAGTCAAGCAAAAAAGTGACCACTGGTCAGTGCTTTTGGTATCGTCAGTTTGCTGCTGGTGACATTTCCTTTGTGCCTGAAGTAACCAGTCTTCGACAGAACTTTACAGCACTTCTAAAAGCAAGCAAAGTGTCCTATTCTTCCAATTGTGTAAAAATTTTAGATGAACAAATCATGCTAAATCAGACTATGTTATGGTACAGTTTTTCTGTATTAAAGTTTATGGGGGGGAAAAGACAGGGAATGAGATTGGAAATCCAATGGAGGGACAGTGCACAGATGAGGCAAAGATGATAATAAGCATTACATTTGGTATAGCGCCTTTGACATCAGGAGGATGTCCTAAAGCCCTTCACAGGATATACTGCAAACTAATAATAATAGTTATAATACTTGCATTTGATATGCTATGTTGTAATGCAGCAAAATAAAACCACTGATCCTGTAACGTCAAATTGTTACTGCATAACAGCAAGCTAATTTCGATCTGGGAAAAAGCTTTTGACTGTTTCTAGAATAATTATATCCTTATAAGGTTAAATGATTCCATTTTGAAAAAGGGATTATTTAATTATAATTTTCAAAGCTTAAATATCCAGCAACTCTCTGTTTGGCAATGAGTTAAAAATATGCTGTCTTTAAATAGGAACATCCTTTTCCTGGAAACCTAACATCTGTATTAATCTATCCTGTATGAATCAGATCACTTTCAGGGTGTTCTTTGATGGGAGGCCAATTGCTGGTAAAGTAATTATTATGTAAGAATTGGCTCCAGTGAACTGTATGTGAAAAATAGACAAGAGTGTGAAAATAGTCCAGTACATAGTTATCAGTCATTCATATTCAGAATTCCAATGCCAGATGTTCTTCAACAGATTTTTAGACTTTGATTTAAATGCCGCACAATCTACAGCTAATGGAGATTATCCCAAATTGCTTCTCGTTAATCTGGACATATCATTTTAAAGAATAAATGCAGGAAGGTTTGTGGCCTAATGTTGTTGAATGTTGACACACTTTTACTTATAATGCACAGGAAGCAATTGCCTGTGCTCCATGTTATACATTGTAAATGATGCTAGTTTACGATATTAAATCAGGAGTTTAATGATGAAAGAGGAGGGATTATGCTACAGGAGCACCTCTCAACCTTTGGTGACATTGCTGTGGTTCTTGTCATGGTCGGGAAGAAGTAAGAATGGTCCGCAAACCACAAGCAAAGCGTCCTACTTTTCTAGTTGTGTAAAGGTTTTAGATAAAGAAATCATCATTAAATAGTCCAGAGCCAGTCATACAGTAGTCTGGTGTTTGTACTTTGTGTGTGTGTGTATGTGTATATAATAGCAATGTGGCACCTCACTCATGGCTTCTGCGAAGAGGTGTTACTGGCACTGCTAGGCCAGAACAGTACTAACATTATTATGTGTCTGTCTTTGCTACTGGTCATGTAGTTTGCAGTAAAATGGAATTTATCATGTTTCCATCTTCTTCATACCAGTGCAGAGGTGTGATTGTAAAAATAGATGAAAGGATTTTAAACAGTGGAGGTTATGCTGGCTTTGACTGTGCACTACTCACTAACACTGGCTTTACACCTCACCACAGTCATGTTGTTATTTAGTGGTGCTGCTGAATGAATCATATTTCTGTCCTGTGCCTTTTGATGACGAAGGCTCTCACTGTTATTAAGATAGAGTGCACAGGGTAAAGTCTTACCTGATGTGCAACATGATATTTACGCCATCGGTTTGAATAGTGTAACCCAGGGAATAAAACATAAATGTTATTAGATGGCCATTAAACATTTTCCGTGCAATAACATATGTTTCACAGTTCATCTCCCAGCTTCCATAATTCACTTCTACAGTCAAAATTGCCCTATTGTTCATGTCACTACAGCTACTCTGTTGTCACTTCATCCCCCTAATGGGATCATAAAGCAGCTTAACTGTCGTCAGTGTTAAAAGGAAAAGTGTCAGCCACTAAAAATAAATCTTTAATATGGAGGTGACTGTAATGTTTAATTGCTATTATTTATTCCAGTTTTATTTTCTCAACTGCACAGTGAAAAGTTTTCAGCTTGTGGGGAATCAGCAGACTGATGCTATCATTAGCTTCTATCACAAATCTCCCGAGCAGCACATTGTGGTACCATAGTCTATTGAAAACAAAATCTAGCGAAAGGCTGTATCTGGAGTCTCGATGAAAGTGTTGGGGTGGATTTTGAAAATGCTGTGCCGACTTCAGCGTGATTGGCAGAAGAGTCAGTACATGCTCTAAATTAAGGAGGAGCAGAGCCCAAGAATTTACATCCAGTTATTTACAATCTCAAATTCCACTTTAATCTTTCTGCTAGAGTATGTGAAACTGAGCAGGTCCTGTGATCTCCTGCGTCCCCGTCTTCAGTCTAATAGCTTGAGTCCAATTAAGGTGCTCGTCATTTTGTTTTCTTTTGTAAGTAAAAGTAACGACAGGAGAGCTTTAACAACCGATTTTGAAACGTAAGGCAAATTATTGCATATGCTGATTTTGAAACATACCGGCTGGAGAACCATTTTATTGAGAAGTTAACAGCAGTGAGCAGAGGAGCGGCTTTGGTTGTTCTGTTTTGATCCTTCTCCTGTGGTTTGAGTTGAGTGAGAATGAATGCTCAGTGTTGCCCACTCTATTTCAAGTGCTCTGGGATGCTACCCTGCATGAGGAGCACAATATAAATGCAAGTTATTGTTATTTGTCTACCGGGTGATTTAAAACAAAGTCCAACCTTGTGTTTCCAAATTTCCATGAGAATCCTTTACTCAGGAGTGACCAGAACAAAATAATCAAATGGAATTGGGATCTAGAAATTGGAGCTGAAACAAGAACAACTTTCATTTATATAACGCCCTTCACATAGAATAACGTCTCAGTGCACTTCACAGGGACAATGTTGGATGCTGAGCAAGGGAGGAGAGGGAGATAACCATAGGGGTGGGTGAAGATATAGGCTTTAGGTGGTACTTAAAGGTAGATCAACAGGGGGCTAGATGGAAGGGAAGAAGGAGGGAGTTCTAAAGTGTGGGGGCATAGTGCTGAAGGCTTGGTCACCGATGTGAGGTGGAAGGGTTAGGGAAAAAGCAGCAAGCCAGAGAGTGTGAGCATAAGAGCAAGATAGAAGAGGGTCACAGAGATAGGGAGGTGCTAGAGTGTGAAGGGATTTATAGGTGTGGATGAGGATCTTGAAACCGATCCATTGAGTCAGTGGAGCCTGGCGAGGATGGGGATGATGGGCAAGTGGAGATTGGTGTGGGTGAGGTAGTGGAAGTTTTGAATAAGCATATTATTCAAGAGTTAAATGAGCATGTCTTCCTCGTTCAGTTAAAAAGGAACAAAATGTTAATAAAAACGGCATCACAGTCCTTGCTACAATATTAGGCTTTACAAAGCCTTGAGATATCCCCTCCCCTCCATACTTGATCGTAGTTCTGTTGAAAGACACAAATACTTATAAACCCGTCAATTTGCAAGATCTTTTCCAAATCCCAAATTGAACTTGAAAACGACTCAGTTACTGCTACCAAATCCTCCTTGTGCACTGTACCTTCCATCAAATAAATGAGTGTGGTAATTAACCTTACCTATATCCCCCAACCCCAACAAGGCATCATGGCTCAAAATGATTGGCTGACTGATATAAGGTGAGGCTTAACACAAGTTGCTTGCACATTTTTACGTGAAGATGGTACAGAGATAGAGGTTAACCCAGAGGTTTTTTTTNGGTATTAGGGCAGAGTAGAATAGACAAAGGATTATTTCCTTAAACCGTACGAAATCATGTTCATCCTAATTTATTTTATTTTTGTAAACAGCAAGGTAAATCTTAAATCACCGTACGCACACTCGAAACGTTTGATCAGTAAGCAGGTTTAAGTAAAATCTCCAGTGCTGTATTTTAGAAAGTTCTGTAATTGAAGTTTTGATTCCCGCTATTTCAGCAAGTGGACAGCAGGGAACTGGCGACGGAATGTCACAAATGCAACACAAAGGAGGTTCCGAAAGGAGATTTGGCAGAGGCCTGATGATCCCAAGTGAGTTGAAAACTTACACTTTGACTCACGTATACACTATGCAGTTCAGAGAATGAGAATTAAATAATCATCCTACACTAGCCATCGTTACATAGAGTTACTTAGTGTGATCCGGCACCAAAAACAACAAGTCCGTGGTGGTGTCTGTACTCCACACGATACCCCACCCCTCCTATGCCCCTCGTCTATATCCTTTATACCTTTACATTACAATGTTGTTAGGAGGCCGTCCTCACTTTTCCTTTGAACAGCTCCCTGACTGTGATCTTTTAATAAACACAAAACTGTTTCTGCATACTTGTATTTTTACCTGGGATTTGAAAGCAGAATGCGGAAAGGGGAACAGTGGAATGCCTAGTTCGTTCCATTTAAGAATATGACCTTTATAAATTTAGTTGTGGCTTTTAACCAGGAAACAAACGGGCTATCACTGTATCCTGTTATGTGTTTTCTTTCCTTCCTATATATTTTTTGCATCGACAGGAGTTTTGATTGTTTGAGAGCCATATAGATTTATATTCTTTGTAAACAGGTGTGGAAACTTATGAAGCTGGATGATCCAAATGTATTACCCCTAATACACGTGACTCCCTATTTCTCATTGCATTCTGTTACCTGGAATGCCTCTCCTTACGTGGTATAATATCTGAATTTGTTCTGCAGATAAACTTGTAAGAGTTGGAACGTGGGGCAATTAGAAAGATGGTTGCACTGAAACAACAAACTTTACTGTTGCGAAATACAGTTGGAATTATTGACAACAAATTCTTATTAATGGGATCAGTAAACTCAAATGGCCAAGGTCAGTGAATTTACCAACCAGTGGAGAATAAGATGCTGAATAAGGTATGCTTGTGGGTCCAGGGCAGTAATTTTACTAATGTTTGGTAAGCAGTCCTCAATTCTGATTATGAAACATTTCATTTGGTCTTTAGCAGTGACAGCTTACAAGGAAAGAAAGAAAACTGCATCTCTATTGGTAGCCTCACTGATGTTGTTTCCAACGCAGACAACACTAATTGTTAGACTATCACTGGGGGCAAATTCCACTTGGCTCTACATTTCCCTATTTAAGTAGCACTTAGAACATCCAGAATTAGGCAAATTGTTGAATTTAGTCTTAACTTTGAAGTTGGTTTAATTTGTAAAAGAAACTTACAGAAAAACGGCTTCAAGATTAAGCATGTATTTAAGAATTTGCCAAATTCTGGACGCTCTAAGATAGATGGAAATTCTCCACACACATTGCAAAATTTGGACATTTGGATATCTCTATAATAATAATCTTTGCATTTGATATAGCGCTTTTCACATCTTCTAGACGTCCCAAAGCACTTCACAGAATATACTGTAAAGTGAATTCACTGTATATTTGTGGGCGAAACATGGCAGCCAATCTCTAGTACTAACACCGGATAACAGATCTGTCAGCAGCATTTTTATTGCTAAATATGAGCTTTGTGAAAAATGTATTAATGGCCCACATTAAAGCTTTGCTAAAGTTGTGGACAGGAGCTCAAAGCTCCATTAAGAACTATTCTTCTTTTCCGCGGCAGTTTAAATGTTTGTATATTTTGAAATAATGCAACGTTTGTGGAGAATTTAAAGAGCCTTTGGAAATTGTTTTTGTTATTTTTAAATATAGTCTGAAGAAATATGATTTAAAACTCCATCAGCAGACGAAATAGCAGGAAGTACCACCCATGTGGAGGATGCAGAAATTTGGCATAAAAATTTCATCTAAATGGACCATTGTGTAACCGGTGATTTGTGTGAGAGCAGGGAGGGACATTCTCCAGTAATGAGGTCTGAATGAAACCTTTGACTTGGAATTCCTTAGTGTGCTTGTCTGTAATATTTCTCAGGAAGCACCGTGTGTGAAATAGTTAACGCTGTCATGAATCACAAGAGACGTTTAGTGTTTGGAACAAGTTTGTTCTTTTACATCATAGTTTGAGCATGTGCGTGATTTTTATACCCCAAAGGCAGGAATTGCTCACTGCTGGGCAGAAGCTGACATTTGGGGGTGGGTGGGGGAATGCTGGGATAAAAAGTCATGGTCAAAAAATGATTTTGAAGTCTTTTGCTACTGATTGATTGGCATTAGGCTCAAACTGGGTCATTTGCTAACAAAACAATTTCTGTCCATTTTGGTATGTTTTTATTATTGCTGTAATCTTTTTTCCAATTTTGCTTAATGCTGGAGAACTGATAAAGGACTGCATTCTGTACAAAATGTGCTACTTATATAATGAATAATCTGCCAATACCAGATGGGCCTGGGATTCACCTGCATTTTATATAACCTGATTTTAATTTAATTTTTTATCTCAATGAAGATTGCCTTCAAACCCAGCATAAACTAATTTTGAGATATTTACTGTGTGATTTCCTGGGATGGCGATTTAAATTAAATTGTTTGACAGGTGATATGATGGTCTACATTCTTCATGGGAATTTCGCCTTGCAAAGTGAGAGCTTTATACACAACACGGCCTTTAACCCAGAGATCTCCAACCGGTTAATCACTGCTAGGTGCGCTATGGGACGCTACTCCTGTGCTATACAAATGTAAGTTGTTGTTGTTGTAGGTGACGTCTCATGCATGCTCAATAAAGACGAGGAATGAATGATATTTCCTGGAGTTTAAATAATAAAGTTTAAATTTTTAGTTCGAGTTGCATGAAATATTTTGTGCATCTGGTTTCTCTTTCAATTGGGCTAAAAAACTACACAGTTCTGTCGCTCCTTCCTCTTGCCTTTTTGATCATGCGCAAGAGCGCCACCTAGCAGCGATCGATCGGTTGGAGACCCCTGCTTCAACAACAACAATAACAACTTGCATGTATATTGCGCCCTTCACATGGGGCAGTGTCTCGGAGTGCTTTAACCCCTTAAGATACGGTAAAAGGCATTCTGAAATGCTTTTGTTAAAAAAAAGTTGTTAATCTATTTAAGAATTTTTAAAAATGGGAACACAATCTCTTCCAATGGTAAATAGCAATTTTATGATGAATGGAAGGTACACTGACTTTCACAGACAGATTGAGAGTTTCATTTTAAAAAAGATGTCACACCTTTAGTTTCAAATGTGGACGAAAGTACAGCTATACTCCACCCTTTGGTTCATTGCAAGGTTCTTAGTTATAACACTGACTCTGTTATAAGGCCACAAATCTTGGCTCCTGATTCTTTCACATCCCATGTTAATGCTGTGTTATGAGACATTCCCTGTAGCCCACGCTCTGTTACAACATGCAGATCATTTGGCTCATGAGCACCTTGCTAGAATGTGCATGACCCATGCTGCAGCTTTGAGAGAGGCCAAAAGTTACCTCTTATTTTACCATAAAATGTAAATGAATGTATAAAAACTTGAAGACAACTAAAGGTATCTTTGGGGTTGTGCGTACCTACGTGCATACAATGGAATTGGTATTAGGAAGTGAGTGGACTGGAGCCATGTAGATAATTTTGACTCCAAGAGAAATTTATTTTGGCTTCTGAAATGCAGGATTGCAATCTATAGGGAATTTCTCATAACACAGCGTTCATCCAGGATTGCTGGATGAACTCCAGGACGATAAACTCCAGCACCTGAAGCCAAGCTTTTCCCTGTTCTTTACTCAAATGGACTCAAAGGACTGAAGCTGTGCAATCATCACATCTGCCAAGTCTTAGCCTTGATAGGTTCAAAATATAGCTTGTTTGTGCCACTCTCTGAAATTAAACACAATTGTATATTCTAATAAGGTTGTGATCCCTTTTGCTCCTGCTTATAAAATCCCACTTCCACAATGTGCCAGTGAGGGAGGCACCTTCGTTTTGCCTGGGAGTCAAGCCATCAGTCCTTGGAGTGTTGTGATTGATAAGATGTAACAGGATAGAGCAGATGATAGTGAGCTGACCTTTAAGGCCATTGTGCCACTGGGGCAATCAGCAAAAGGTTCTTTAAACACACGTTTCTATCTTTTACATTTACTTTTTCTGCCTCTGTTACGCCTTTTTATGTTTTCTCTCTGGTTTTGCTCAATGTTTCCCGATCTGACAGCCCAAGCCGCAAAGGAAGGGCCAGGAACAACTGGTGAGAGCAAAACAGCAAAAACGTTAATTAAGATTCAGGATTCAGGCCAAGATAGTGGGGAACTGGGAGATCAGGAGATTGAATGTAAAACCAGGCGTCAGAAAGAGAAGACAGGAACTGAAAACATTGGAATCTAGTTTGGATTTGTAAATAGACAATTCAGCAGAAACCCAAATGTGTCTCAGGCTGCCCCTCTAAACCCTTGATTAGACTCTGATCTCAGTTCTAACTTCTGGCTGAATTTTGCTCCTGGTACCTGCTGATAGTCTGGGTCTGGAGGAGTACACCCTGTTTAGAGGTATACATCCTGGTAGACGAGTAGAGGCGTACAACTTGTTAGAGCTGTACACCCTGATGGAAATGATATGTAGCTGGATAGATGTCCGTATCGTGATGGGTGGATGGATGTACCATCCTGGGTTGAAATATATTCTTATTCACAATCAAATCAAATAAACCTATATTCTTGAACTTGGTATTTTAAGATAGTGTTCAGTGGTGCCGACTATACATGCAAATCATAAGTGAGATCTTGATGTTTGGAAAGAATATCTAGGAATACCTTTGCAGAATATCGTAGGAATTTTAAGAGCCCAATTTCCTATTTTAGATCTTACCGCTTGATTTCATTTCTCAGTCCCATACAAGATGTATTTGCTGTTTTTCCAGCTTGCTGATTATAGAGAGCTGCTCTATAACTAGCGCCAGGAGTGGAGGAGTAGTAAACTGGTTCCCGTGTGAATTATCTCTGCTATCTGGCAATTCTTGGCGCCAGTTCATAAGGCTGTATTAAACAACCAATATGTTTGTTTTGTTCATACAGTTCAAAGCTATTGAGCTAAGCAGTCAGTGTTGCTCAGAATTTAGCAAATCTGTCATCAGTTTTAAGATGTAGGTAAGCTTGTTTTCCCTTCTT